TATTATTTTTTTAAAGATTTTATTTATTTATTTATTTGACAGAGAGAGAGATAGCGAGAGCAGGAAAACAAGCAGGGGGAGCAGGAGAGGGAGAAGCAGGCTTCCTGCCGAGCAGGGAGCCCGATGCGGGGCTCCATCCCAGGACCCTGGGATCATGACCTGAGCCGAAGGCAGACGCTTAACAACTGAGCTACCCAAGCGCCCCATGTCTATACTATTTAGAATATTAAAGCAAATGTGGCAAAATGTGAACCATTGGCAAAGCATATAAATTCTTTCTCGCAACTTTTATGTCAGTTTGAAAGCGTGTAAAACTAAAAAGCTACCCTTCCACACAAAAAAGCTAATACATAAATAAAAGGGCCCACTAGGTGCCCAGCCTAATGAATGAAAAAGACCCCCGCCAAGGCCTGTGTGGCTGCCTCCACACCGAGCATGTTGCCTTCTTCCTAGCTAACAGGCCCTGATTTTGAGCACCGTTAGACAGTTTAAACTGGAGCATGTAGGGGCGCCTGGGTGGCTCAGTCGTTAAGTGTCTGCCTTCGGCTCAGGTCATGATTCGGAGGTCCTGGGATTGAGCCCCGCATTGGGCTCCTTGCTCGGCAGGGAGTCTGCTTCTCCCTCTGCCCCTCCCCCTGCTTGTGCGCTCTCTGTTTCTATCCGACAAATAAAAATAAAATCTTTAAAATAAAATAAACGACAGCATGTAGTACTTTGCTTGAAAAAAGTTAAAAAATAAGAGGGGGGCGCTGGCTGGCTCAGTCAGTAGAGCATGGGACTCTCAGTCTGGAAGTTGTAGATTTGAGCCCCACATTGGATGCAGAGATAACTTAAAAAAGTAAAATCTTTAAAAATAAATTAATTAAAAGGAAAAAAAAGAGGGAGAGAGACCTCCAAATGAGAAGAAAACTTGAGTATCGTTGAGGGACTCCACGAATGAATGAACCCGTGAATGGGGAGTGAGTGAATGAATGGGCAGAGCAGTGAGTGAGTGGAAACGGCCGGAGCCCTCTGCCCAAGCCTTTTCATCTCGGCCCGCTGCATCTCTAGGCCCCACGCATTCAGGTGAGGAGGTGCCAGGCTGGCTCTTTTTATGGCTGACCACACCCTGGGGGCCCCACTGGCCAAAGGGCATTTCCTTCTCAGGAGCTGAGGCCAGGTGGGTCCCACCGCTTCCTCCTCTGCTGGAGGCCCACCTTCCTCCATTCCTGGCAGGAAGGGCACTGTCGCACGCCGGGGAGGCAGCGTCAGGCTGGCGACCAGGGGCCCCAGAGCCGGCCCCAGGCCTGCGGCCGCCAACCCAGATGCCCATCGGTGAGCATTTGCCTTCCTTGGGTCTCCGCTCCCTTCCCTGCTCTGCCCCTGATGCAGTTTGATCAAATCAGTGGTTCTCAGCTTGGGTCACACATTCAGATCAGCTGGGGACCTTTCCAAAATTCCAGGGCCCAGATGGCGCCCCAAACCAAGTATGTGGGACCCAGGCACCCACGGTTTTTAGGGCTTTCCAGGTGATTCCAATGCACAGTTAACTTTGAGAACCTGCGAGCTGTGACCTCCTTGGCCCCCTCCACTTTCTGATGCCCTGTCCATCAGTCCTGTGTTCTGTCACTGGAGGGTTAAATGAAATGTGAGAGCCATCCCCGGACCTGTGGGCTCCTATCCTCAGCACCCCTTACGCACTCTTCACCAAACCTCCTGTTCCAGCCCCCTCCCGTCATCTGCATTCTTAGGTTTGAAATCAAGGGATCTGGGATCATGGCCAAGGCAGAGTCTCCCAGGTATGGGCTGGGGTCTTCCTGCCTCCTTGGCACTCGCAGCTGCTGAGGAAGGGGTTAGGAGAAAAGGGAGAGAGAACTGGGGAGGACGGAGAGCCTGTTCGACCCAAGAACCTAAGTGTTTGGCTTTTCCTCTCCCTGATGTAGGAGCTGCTAACCTTTTCCGAGGAAAGGTCTAGCTGGGTGCCAGTGGCTGGGCCTCCTGGGGGCGCGTTCCCTTGGGTAAGCCCTATTAGCGGCTGGTGTCACCTGCTGGACCCAGCCTGAGAAGGGAGGAAGGAGCCTTGGGCGAACTTCCCTTGCATCATCCACTGCACACCCTGCAGCCCCCCCGGGAGTCTTACTCTGCCCATCTATACAATAGGCACCCCCGGCCTCATCTCACCGGGCCAGTGGCAGTCCGACCACATTGCTGTTCCACGGCACCCAGGTGCACGGAGCTTCCGGAGGTGTTTCCTATGTAGTTGGGAGCTTGTGCATCCATGCGAGAGGGGTACCGATCTGACGGACAACAGAGCTGACCCATGGCCGAACCCCAACAGGACATGAGGGAGAAGCCGGCAGGTGAGTCTGGAAGACCTGTTTCCCACGTGGTTCTCAAGGATTTGGGCAGGGCCTGAGGAAGGTGTTGGGGGGGGGGATGCTGCCGCCGGTGGGGCCAGGGGCCCTCCCCGGCTCGGCCACCGGCGGTCAGGAGCAGAGCGAGCACCGAGTGTCCCGTAGGGGAGCAAGAATCCGCAGCTGTGATCAACAGGAGCAGCCCGCGGTTCAGGCGCTCACTGCTTTGCTTCTTACAGACTTGCGAGGTAGAGATTATTAATCCCATTTCCCACATCAGAAAACTGAAGCGCAGAGAGGTTAAGTAACTTGTCTGAGGAGTCATGGCTACAGCGGTAGAGGAAAACCTCAAACCCAAATCTGCCTGACTTCAAAGGGCGTGCTTTCTGACCTCTCGAGACCCGGTCCGCACTCAGGGGATCTTAATCCGACGGGTTCGGCAGAGGAAAACGCTCTTACCCGCGGCAGGCGGTAGGCCAGGCTGCGGGAGGGTCCCCTGCTCTGTCTGCGTGCGGTGAGTGGTGGGGGGGTGCAGAAGGCATCATTTCAGGTTGGGTACCGGAGGCTCTGAGGGGCTTCCGGGGACAGGGGCTCACTCCGTGGCCCAGAGCACAGGGCAAAGACGGGACTGCAGGTCCCGCTGCCTTGGGAGGGGCTGGGGAGGGACTGCGCAGTGTGGCGAGAGTACTTTCTGAGCCAGAAGCAAGCCTGGTTCCTGGGCCTGTGATCACAGCAGCTGTGCAGAGCCCCTCATTCAGAAAGGGTCCCACACGTGGGGTTAAATGCTCTGTGGTCGCTGGCTTCACATTTTAAATAATTTTTTTTAAGATTTATTTATGGGGCACCTGGGTGGCTCAGTCATTAAGCGTCTCTCTTCGGCTCAGGTCATGGTCCCAGGGTCCTGGGATCGGGGCTCCCTGCTCAGCGGGAAGCCTGCTTCTCCCTCTCCCACTCCCCCTGCTTGTGTTCCCTCTCTCGCTGTGTCTCTGTCAAATAAATAAAGAAAATATTTAAAAAATAATAAAATATTTATGAGAGAGAGGGCACGAGCAGGGGGGAGGAGCAGGGGGAGAGGGAGAAGCTGACTCGCTGCTGAGCAGGGAGCACAATGTGGGACTTGATCCCCAGGACTCTGGGCTCATGACCTGAGCCGAAGGCAGATGCTTAACCCACTGAGCCACCCAGGCGCCCCATTTTAAATAATTTTATCTTGAAGTCTATTTTGTAAGTGAAGTCAGCCGGGCCGATGGAGCGTGTGCTGGGGGGTTGGGAGCTGGGAGCCTTGACCCCGTGTCTGCGCAGCCCCACTCCCAGCCCACCGCCCTTTCCCCACCAGAGTTCCCCTGTCCCCTTCTGCCCCTGGCAGGGACTCAAGAGTTGGAGTTGAGGCAGGCAAGGCAGGGCATGTTCCGAGGGTGATAGGCAGGGAAGAGGCAGGAAGCCCTCCCCCCCTCAATCCAGGTACACATGGGTGCAGCTGGGAGGCTGTGATACCTGGGGGGTCGCCCTTCTGCCCTGGGTTAGGGGTGCAGCTTTGGGGAAAGCTGTTTTGCACACCTTCCTTTTGCTCCGGGCTCCACTGATGTACCTGGCTCTGGTCACATCCCAGTCCTGCCATTTACTCATGGAGCAAGTTCAAGCAAGTTACTTCACCTTTCAGCCTCAATTTTCTTGTCTGAAAATGGGAATGTCAACACCCTATAGGATTTTTTTTTTTTTTGAGGAGAGTGAGGTTTGTTTGTTTTCCCCCAAAATGCAAGTCTGATTATGACAGCCTTGGGCTGAGAACTGTCTAATGGCTTGGTGTTGTTCTAGAATAAAAACCAAAACCTTTCACCTGGGCCAGTGCTTTCCAATAAAAATACAATGTAAACTACATATTTAAAAATTTCCTTGTAGCCACATTTAAAAAAGACAGGTGAAGGGACGCCTGGGTGGCTCAGTCGGTTAAGCGGCTGCCTTCGGCCCAGGTCATGATCCCAGGGTCCTGGGATCGAGTCCCACATCAGGCTCCTTGCTCAGCAGGGAACCTGCTTCGCCCTCTCTCTCTGTCTGCTTGTGCTCTGTCAAATAAATAAAATCTTTAAAAAAAAAAAAAAAGACAGGTGAAGGGCACCTGGATGGCTCAGTCGTTAAGCATCTGCCTTCGGCTCAGGTCATGGTCCCAGGGTCCTGGGATCGAGCCCCGCATCGGGCTCCCTGCTCGGCGGGAAGCCTGCTTCTCCCTCTCCCACTCTCCCTGCTTGTGTTCCCTCTCTCGCTGTCTCTCTCTCTCTGTCAAATAAATAAATAAAATCTTTAAAAAAAAAAAAGTGAAAATAATTTTAATATATTTACTTCACTCAATATATCAAGATTATCATTTCAACATACAACCAATATATAAAAAGGAAATATTTTACATTTTTTTCCTGTCTTAGAAATTGTATTTTATGTATTTTTATGAAATGAGTGTATCTCATTTAAAGAACTACAATTAAGGCCCTCCATGCTCGCTGCCCTGCAGCCATGTTGGATTGCCTTTCCTTCCTCAAAATCTCCACTCCATCCACACACAGGTTCCTTTGCTGTTTCTAGCCCTGGGAAGCTCATCTGCCTCTTTTCCCTCTGGATCTAGTTAAGCCTACTCATCCTTCAGATGTCAGCTCAAATGCCCAGCCTTCAGGGCGCCCTTCTTTGACCCCTTTCCATGCTTTCATGCTATTGTTGTCTCTGGCCCTCGCCAGCCCCACGATTGTAACTTCACATTTACTTGAGGCCACTTAATCAGGATCTCTCTCCTCTAGTTTGCCAGTTCTAGGACAGAAACCACTCTGGGTTTTTGCGGTGGCAGCTTGAATCCTGTCGCCAGGGCTTAGCCTGGTGCAGAGCAGGGTCTCAGGGAGCAGGGCAGATCCTGTGAGACTGGGAAAGGCCTGGCCCCCGGAAAGCACTCTAATGCTCACTCTCCTTTCACTTCCCTCTGGTGGAGAAAATGCCTTATAAAGGGACTCTGCTAGAGAACTGGGGACACGAAGCACAGTGCCCAAAATATTTAAGTAGAAACTTGAGTTAAGCACACAGATTATAAATATTTCTTCCCCAGATTACAGACCACTTAAAAATAGCGTTTCGGCTCCTTTTCATGATTTGGGCCGTGATGAAGGAAAATGACTCTTTGAGTTTGAACATAATTACTGCCCTTTTCGTGACTTGGCTTTTCCTTTGAGGAGGAGGCGGAACTAGGGAGCAGGAAGTGAAGAGGGGGCATTATTTTCCCTGTTTAACTGGCAGATCTGGCAGAGAGCCAAACGCCGAAGTGCTGCCTGCCATTTCTCAATGCTTTCTTTTTCTTTTAAGATTTGAGAGAGAAAGAGAGAGCGCGCGAGAGAGAGAGCACGACCCGTGGGGCGGAGGCAGAGGGAGAGGGAGAAGCAGACTCCCAGCTGAGCAGGGAGCCCGACGCGGGACTTGATTCTAGGACCCTGGGATCATGACCTGAGCCAAAGGCAGATGCTTAACCGACTGAGCCACCCAGGTGCCCCTACACTTTCTCATTCCAATTCTTTACCAGGTGAATATAAACAAGGCTCCAATCCGCAGTTGCCAGCTGACCCAGAGGATGCCAAACCTGAGGACACCTGTGTAGGTGAGGACTCAGCCCCGTAGCCGTGTGGCAAAGCCAAACACACCACTCAGGTTCTTCTACCTTCAGTCCATACCCCTCCTCCTTAGGACAGTGAGTGGGAAGAACTCACTTGATACCACTGTCCCCCCCGCAAAAGATGGTACAATTATGCTGTTTCTCAGGGCCCACCTGTCACCTTAAAGTCCCAGGGAGGGGTGCAGTAGGAATCACACAGAATCACCTGCACGTCTACACAACAGCTTCTCAAGGATACAGAGCCCCAGAGCTCAACAGTTCCTTGAAGCTTTTCAAATAGACAAGTTCAAACACCATGTACTGCTCAAGGGTGATACATTTAAATATTAATTTTTTCAATCCTAGTCCGGCTTCTAACCTCAAGCTTTTTGGTGAGTATAATGGGGCGTACATCCCAGAGTACCCCAATAAAAGCCCATACACCAATAAAAACCACATGTCTATCTATCATGCAGTTCTTGAGATGCCCTGTGCTGTGAGAATGGATGATGTCAATTGAAAGGCTTTAAATCCAGTATTTTCTTTTACAAATGAATTTGCAGGTGATCTAGAGCTGGTGCTTAAAGTCAGAATTCAGAGTCCCAGAGAAAATGACTTCATTGAAGTTGAACTGAACAGAGGAGAGCTGAGTTATCAGAATCTACTAAAAGTCAGTTGCTGTGAACTGGGGATTGAACCAGAGCGAGTGAAGATGATCAGAAAGCTACCAAACACACTGCTCAGAAAGGTAGGGTTTGCAAAGTGTCTAAATGCAGACGGGGTTCTAAGTGGGCAAAATTAATGCTCTGTGAAGCTAATCACTTAGCTTTTGCATTTCTAATGCGAAAACAAATTTAAGACACTGGGAAATTCGGGCTGCAGAACAGCATGGTAGCTAGGTAATTTTCAATCTGGTGCTTTCACCGATTTGCACACCTAAATTCATAAACCCTTTAAAATGGTCTGAATCACACTAATGCCCAAATGGAAGTCTCAGTTCAATGCATATAGCCCCTTCCACCTCTGCAAACCTGGGTTAACAATAGGCGGCATGGTCCCCGGGAATGAAAAGACTAACCCACCTTTACTTGCTTACAACAGTTCAGCCTTTGTAATCTCATGAAACGAAATTGTTTTGCATTTTTATAGATTTTCCAGATTCAAAATACAGCTCTCTAATTTCAGGAGAAAAATCTCATTTCTTTGGGCATTATTATTTTTTAAAAGCTCTCAAAATGCCTTTAACAATTCTCATTGGTGTCAAGGCTAATAGTATATTCTTTGTAAAGGACTGGCAGGATGATCGTATTTTCTAGATTTTTTTAATGCCCTTTTCTGGATTTGAAATAATGTATATACAGTTACTGGTACATGATAATTTCTTAATAAATGAGCGCTATAATTATTACTTAAAAAAAAAAAGAGCCCTTTCTTCAGCAGTATCAGTTTGGTCTATAGTCGTCCCCTTAGGGACCTACAACAGAGACCAAAAAAAGAAAAAAGCTTCTCAACTGCTACCTTAGTTTACCACGACAGAGAAACCAATAGAGAAATATCCTGAGTTTAGGCAAGAACCCAAGATGCTGGCCATTAAGACTTTTTAATCTTAATAATTTCACATGCTATCTATAAACCACCCTGTAATTTCCTTTACATATTAAGGACAAAGACATTCTAAGACTACGGGACTTTCAGGAAATAGAACTCATCCTAATGAAAAACGGAAGCTCTGAATTGGTAGAATACACACCATCCCTGACAGAGAAGCCCTGCTACAACAGCAATGCTGCTAAACTGACCTATTAGAAAACCCCAGAAATGGAACACCGGGATCATTGTTTTGTAAATAACCACGTCGGAATGCATGTACTGGTTTGCTAACTTCATGTGTGTACTCTGGAAAATTGTTCCCTCATCTCAAACTTCTCTGGGCAGGGAGAAATTTCAAAGTGCTTTGACAAAGAGCTATTTTTTAAAAATTGTACAGGGGCACCTGGGTGGTGCAGTCGGTTAAGCATCCAACTCTTGGTTTCAGCTCAGGTCATGATGTTAGGGTCCTGGGATTGAGCCCTGCATCGGGCTCCCCGCTTAGCGTGGAGTCTGCTTAAGATTCTCTTCTCCCTCTGCCCCTCCCCTCATGCTCTAAAATAAAATCTTCATGGGGTTGCCCGGGTGGCTCAGTCGTTAAGCGTCTGCCTTCGGCTCAGGTCATGATCCCAGAGTCCTGGGATCGAGCCCCGCGTCGGGCTCCCTGCTCCGCGGGAAGCCTCTTCTCCCTCTCCCACTCCCCCTGCTTGTGTTTCCTCTCTCGCTGTCTCTGTCAAATAAAATCTTTAAAAAAATAAGATCTTCAAAAAAATAAAAACACGTCACACCATCATTTCCTATTTACACTTTTAAACTTGCCTATAAACTGGCATGCCTTGATAAGACTTGAGTTACCTTTGAGGCCATTTTTAACACTACTTGTCAAACAGCAAAGGCACAGCCCACAGCACTCACCTCTGCTAATCAGATGAAAAAAACAAAGTCGGCACCCTTACCAACAACTAGCTCAAAGCTAGCCTCCTCCCATCACACTACCTAGAATCCTTCTGGGTCAACTCACCCAAACTTCTAGTTAAGAACTAGTACTTCGGAAGCACTCGGTAGGTTGACCTCATTTACCCACTTTACCCCACACACTGTCACTTCTCTTCCCAGCCATTACTCCCGGACTCAAATTCATGGAACTGAGCTATAGAACATCAGAGCTCCTTCTGCCAAGCAGTGTCTTGTCTCCCCCAGCACATAATGGGCCACCACGACGCCTCTGCAAATTCTATCTCGGCTTTGATGAAGGGTGGGGGACAAACACTATACTAACACCTCGCCCAACTGTCCAAAGAGCAAGGTTTTAAATAGTGTGGGTACAGATGTATGTATCATTTCACTCATAAAAACGTGAAGGGTGGTTCAGTTGGTTAAGCGACTGCCTTCGGCTCAGTCGATCCTGGAGTCCCGGGATCGAGTCCCGCATCGGGCTCCCTGCTCCGCAGGGAGTCTGCTTCTCCCTCTGACCCTCCTCCCTCTCATGCTGTCTCTTTCTCTCTCAAATAAATAAAATCTTTAAAAAAAAAAATGTGAAGGGTGCCTGGGTGGCTCAGTTGATTGAGCATCCGACTCTTGGGTTTCGGCTCAGGTCATCTCAGGGTCAAGATCAAGGCTTGCGTCTGCTAGTGCCTCTCCCTCAGCTCCCTGCCCCCACCGCCGCCACCGGCTGCTGGTGAGCGCTCTCCAATATATAAATAAAATCTTTAAATTAAAAAAAAAAATGGGATGAGTACATGAGACTTGAACCTGCAATTTGCTTAGTTGCCATGGACCTCTTTGGGTGGGAGCACCTCTGCTTGAAATTCTAAGCTCAGCATCCACATCACAGGTCTTTAAAGAGCCAGCACAGCCCCTATTGCAAGCCAATTCCATGTAGCGCCGTTCCAGTGCCACAGGACTGGGGAGATGACAGGCGATCAATCCCCAAGGGCCAGTTCCCTGAGGTATTCTCAATTTTGTTTTGAATAAGGAAAATTTGGGCAGGAGCTCAGGATTGGCTGTTAATGGCCCCAAATCACCCTTTGTGGGGGAAGTGAGGTTTTAGGTGGGATTTTTTGGTGAATATGGTAGAATAAATTTGAACAAAATGTTGGGAGGAAAGCTTACACTATGATAATAACAGAACCTACAGTGTGGCCTCATGATTAATTACAGTAATTCAACAAGGGCAGCAATTTATCATGAGACCGTTGGGCAAACTCAATATCCATTCCAATACAGTTTGCACGAAAAAATTGTAAAAACTTACTTCCTATAACATGAATGGTCTTAAGGCTTTGATTAATGAAAACTGAAGCTTCAAGAGTAATTTTCATTGTAATTTACACTTCATGCAGAGATTGTGGAAACTAGTTTCTGAGGAAGGTACAATTCCACTGACTTTTACGCCAACTTAATGCCATTTTAAGATTTTTAAGTGGTTGAAACGAATCAGGTACTAGGATGCTTATCCTGAAAGGTTCCAGAACACATGTAGTAGGTTAAAACAAAAAGATGGAATGATCCAGAGAATTCTTAGTCGTTCACAACCTAACGTTCATCTACAAGGTGGTGACTGGTAACACAGCAGCGCCCCATCCCTCAGAACAGAAATTCTTCCTGTACAGCTCACAGGCCTGACAGACTCCACTAGAAGTTGTTCCTACTTTGCTCACTGATCTATCCGAGGTTATCACAACAGCACCTGGCACACCAGCACTGCGGATACAGGTGAATTTTATGCAACTGCAGATACATTTCTACTTCCAGTCACTGCCCTTTTAAAGAGTGAACATCTAACGCTTCATGGTGCCCCTCATAAAAGTATTAGAGGCCAAAATGGAACAGTCCCTCTGATCGGACAATCTAGTTTGAACAGGGGAAGCACGTGCTGACCACCAGCCAGGAGTACTGCTCTTCTCACCCAGCAGTTCCCTTTCTGGAAGGGCGTGAATTTGCAAGACATGTAGAGAACAGCAGCAGCAGCTCCCTGGCTGACACCCAAATCCCAAATGAAAGTATGTAAAGATAAAAATAAGCGATCACAAAGAAAACATCCACTTAGGCCCTGCTTCTAAATAACTACAATTAAGGCCCTAAATTTGGTGCTCAGGAAACCATACCTTTTACACCTGCCTGTCACTACAAGAAAGTAAATTTCATTAAATAACAGTATGCTTATATGTTAGTCACTACCTACACCAAGACCTTTTCCCATTTTTTAAATTTAAATTTTATTAAGAAATACCATACATACAAAAGCACATAAACATACAGTTTAAAAAAGAAACCGCCCACCCAGCTTTAGCAACAAAGCATCGGCAGCAGTTCCTCCGAAGGCTGTTCCGTGCCCTCCTCCTCCGTCCCTCCGATGCAGGAGGTAACACTGAATTTCATGTTAATCATTTCCTTGCTTTTCTTCCATTTACCATAGATTTAACAGCTTGATTTTGACCTTCACAGAAATGGAACCATAGTGGATGTATTCTTCTGCAACTTGCTTTTCCAACCACCAAGATCCATCTGTGTTCACACATGTAGCTGTAGCTCAGTCTAACTTCTGTGCAATTCCACTGTAGGATTAGGCCACGGAATCTCTCCAGTGGACTGCTGAAGGACAGGCGGGGTCTTTCCAGTTTTTTGTTTTCCTTTTCTTCCTATTACAAACAATGCTGTTATGACACTTCCACATCCACGTCCTGACACACGTGTGTAAGAGTTTCTCTAGGGTATGTATCTAGGAGTGCAATAGCCACACTGAGAAGTTAGGGCATGGCCACTTATGCCAAACTACTTCCCAAAGCCGCTGTTCCTGAACATTCTTAAATCTGCTGACAACTGAGCTACTTGGGAGGGCTGAGGAGAAGAAACAGATCAACTATGACTCTCAAACTGCATTTTCAAAGTAGGAAATTTAAAAATCTGATACAACAATGAAAAACACATTGACTTCTCTGCTTTGGTTTACTTGAAATGTATTTTTAAAAAACTACATGTTAAAACTTAAAAGGGCGGTCTCCTAGATCTCAAATGTTTCTAAATATACGGAGTGAAAACAGCAAGATTCAAAACATATGGTGTACTTCATATATAAAAAACCGTCTATACATATATGCTTACATCCCCCACCACCCACTTCCCTCCAGAAGGAATAACTGTTAACAGTAGCTCCTGGAGAGGAAGAACAGAGGGACAGGAAAAGGGAGAAAGAGATCACTTAACACTTCTACTGTTGTTTTTTGAACCATGTACAAGCATTACAATTATAACATAAAATTCTTTAAAAGTAGTCACCTGTGGTTCTTTCATAAACAACTAAAAATCAGTCTGAACTCACATGTGAAAACAGGCCCTGAACGAAGTCCCATCCCACAGAAAATACACACAATGAATTCTCAAGTGTTTTCCTTTTGTTTCATGCACTTTAGAATAATGCTTAAAAATATTCACACAGCCCATCTAAAATGCATTTTTAAAAGCACAGAATGGATGCAAGCTCTAAACTCCCACCCTACATTGTTCCGTTGTAACATCTCTAGAAACTTTAATCGGAAGGTGGCTAACAACCTGTATGTAGTCAGTTTTCTCAGACCTTGGAAATAGGGTGGTTTGTCCTCTGTGACACTAACTATATATTGAAGAAACCAGACAGACTGCCTGCAGGTGTCCTGTGTAAGGAGAGAAGATAAATATCGGAGCTGAAATAGGACTAGTTTATTATAACCTCGAGAAGGCAAGAAATGGGTTTTAATTCAAACTGAAAAATACAGCTGACCCTTGAACATGAATTTGAACTGCATGGGTCCACTTATACAGGGATTTTCTACAGCGAGTACTATAAATATGTTCTCTCTTAAGATTTTCTTAAAACTTTTTCTCTAGCTTACTCTATTGTAAGCATGCGTGTGTAATACATATGCAAAATACATATTAATTGACTATGTTATAGGTAAGGCTTCTGGTCAACAGTAGGCTATTAGTTTTGGGGAAGTCAAGTATAGGTGGATTTGGCTCAATGGGGGTTGGTGGGGGGTGGCTGACACCCCTAACCTCCCTCATTGTTTCAGGGTCAACTGTAAATATACTGTGATCTGTTTGAAGGAAAAATGTATTAACAAAACAGGAGGTGATGCCAGGCAGAGGGGAGGATGCCAGAGCAGCAGACTCATTACCTGGTCCCCTTGAGACATACAATGGAAAGTAAGCTACCAGATCAACACTACAGTTGAGGACTC